GAGTGCAAACTGTGCTGGACTTTAGGGTGTCCTTAAATGTCTGCTTGAAAATGCCTCRCTAAATATTTCCCATACAGGATCATGATCCACTTCAATTTCTCCTAATCAAATCATTCCCTGCCATTTGCCCAGCAATTCATCTGCCACCACCGAGAGCAGATCACACACCTGATCACTGGGCTGGCCACAACCTCCTGCACCCGAAAAGCAAGAGAACAAAAAAGGGTTTTTCCTGCAGACACCAACCAGCCCCTCTGCCCCTCTCTCTGGTCAGCTCCAGCCCCTCTGCCCCCCTCTCCGGTCGATTTGAGCCCCCCATCCCTCCCTGGCCGGTTCCAGCTCCTCTGTCCCTGTCTCTGGCCGGTTCCACGTCCTCTGCCCCTCTCTGGCTGGTTCCAGCTTTTCTGTCCCCCTCTCTGGCTGCTCCTCTGCCCTTGGGCTGAGCTTTTTTATTCCAGTCATAAAATGCCATCAAGCAGCAGCCTTTAAAGCCCGGTTTTATGGATGGTTGTGTCTGGCCTGCTCATGGTTCTCCCCCTGTGAGCGCTTTGGCCTCCTTTAAACAGYCCTGGCATCCAGGTTGGTGTGGCACCTGCTCCCAGCTGCCATCACACTCCCAATTCCCGATTCCCCGGCCAYGGAATGTGCAGGCACATCTTTGCCAACCCTTCGGAGCAGAGCAAGGTGCACCCAGCGCCCACAGGGCTGCTCTGTGGGAGTTTTGGAAGCAATTACCTTCTCACCCATTAACTGATGAGGGCCTCCCCCATTACAGAGCCCAGGCACCATAACTCAGAGGCAGCCTGGAGGAAGATTGACAGGGCACGAGCCAGGCAGCGCTCACCAGGGTTTCTATTTCGGTTTTATTTGGCCCAGCTCTGTGTCTGAGCCCGGATTTGAAACACGCCGGCTCTCTGTTAGTCAGCGCTCCGTCAGAGCCACGCAAATCAGGGGTCTGATCCCCAAAGTTCAGCTGCAGACACACAGCCACGTCCTCCCCGCGCTCATTATCCACATTATGGTTTGAGCAGCATGAAAAATGCATGAGGACAGAGGGGGAAGGCTCTTCAGAAGCTGCACCGTGATTCACACTCTCTGCGAACTACAAAGGGATCGTTTACAAGCACGGAGAGCGCCCAGGCAAACGGAATAAGTGAGAGCTGAGCTGATTAGCGCCCAGCACAAATCAATGGGAMTCRGCCTCCAGCACAGCGAAGGGAATCRGCTTTCAGCTGGCCCGGCTCTTCAAACGCAGTTAATTACCGGCTGAGAGCACCGGGAGCCCGCGGGGTTGGGCAGGGCGGGCTCTGCACGGCAGGAATACCTCGGGATAGCGATTGAGACATCGGCAATTCCAGAGAAAGAGTCCCATTGTGCACCCGGGGCTCTCTGCCCAACCTCCTAATTACGTGCTTAATGAAGGTGCTTGGGGCAGCCAAATCCACAGAGCTGGGGCCAAACACCTTGAAATGSGAGCCTCTGAAAAGCGACCCAGCTCCTCCTGCTTGTGCCGGGATGGACCCAGAGCTGGGCACACTCTGCGTTTCACACAATCACGCGATCAGGGAATGGTYTGGGYTGCAGGAGCCTACAACCCCACCCAGTGCCACCCCTGCCATGGCAGGGACACCTCCCACTGCCCCAGACTGCTCCCAGCCCCAATGTCCAGCCTGGCCTTGGACACTGCCAGGGATCCAGGGGCAGCCACAGCTGCTCTGGGCACCCTGTGCCAGGGCCTCCCCACCCTTCCAGGGAACAATTCCTGCCCAATATCCCAWCCATCCCTGCCCTTTGGCAATGGGAAGCCAGTCCCTGTGTTCTATCCCTCCATCCCTTGTCCCCAGTCCCTCTCCAACTCTCCTGGAGCCCCTTTAAGCCCTGCAAGGTCACACTGAGCTCACCCCAAAGCTTCTCCTATCCAGCTGAACATTCCCAGCTCTCCCAGCCTTCCCTCCCAGCAGAGCTGCTCCATCCCTCTGCCCATCCTGGAGCCTCCTCTGGGYTCCTCCARCAGCTCCTCTCWGTCCCAGGMCCCCAGGGCTGATTTTTGTCAGCACTGGAGCTGAGTGGRCACAGCTGGATKGGCCAGAGCCCATGCCAGGCTGGGAAYGGGCACTGTGGGAAKCGTGGGAAGCACATTCCTGCCCCCAGGACCTGGCTCCTGCCCTGGGATCCCACAGCCCCAGCAATCCCTTCAATGCTCAGGCAGCTGACAGTGCTTTGTTTCTGCACTCACACTCCAGACTTCCCCATTTAATTACTGAACAAAACAATTCTCTTCACTCGGAGCCCACAAATCATAAATTTAATTAACRGTGCTAATTAGCAGCAGAACCAAGTGCGGGCCTAGCCGCTGAGTGACAGAGGCCCTGTTTAAAGTCTGGGCAGCCATGACCCCAGAGAAATCCCGAAAGCCTCGGTGCCCCGCTGACAGAGTGCAGCAGCTGCAGTGTCCAGGGTCCTGAGCCGAGCAGCGCTCACAAATCCCAGCCCCAAAGCCTCGGGCACGGCCACCCCTGCTGCAGAGGGTCCAGCCAGGACTCCCAAACATGGCTGCTTTTCATCATTCCTTCAGGCTGACTGCACTAAATCACAGAGTCACAGAATCCCAGTCACAGAATCACAAAATCAATCACAGAGTCATACAATCAATCACAGAATCCCAGAGTCACAGTCACAGAATCACAGTCACAGAATCCCAGAGTCACAGAACCACCACGGGTTGGAAGAGACCTTCAAGATCTTTGAGTCCAACCCCTGCCCTGACATCTCAACTAACCCACGGCACCCAATGCCACACCCAATATTTGTTAAACACATTCAGGGATGGTGATTCCATCACCTTCCCAGGCAGACCATTCCAGTGCTTTATCACTTTTTCTGTAAAGAACTTTTTCCTGATATCCAACCTGTATTTC